AAAGTCGCCATAAAAATAAGTAGTAAAGTAAAGTAAAAATATCAGAAAAATCTACTTGAGTACAGTAACGAAGTATTTGTACTTCATTACTTCCCATCTCTGCAAATAGGGCACTGATACCATTTTGAGAGCCAAAAGTTTATTCAACTATTGTCACCAATTCCGGGTAGGCAATAAAAAGTTCTACTGGATTCAGTTTTCGTTGTCTTTTTCCTGCTTCACAAAGGTAGGCAGCAGCTTGACAAAGCCAATGATGGCAATTATTTTACATCCAAGTAGTATGCAGTTCTTCAAATATACACACACACATCAATTTCAAACACATGGTATCGGTATCGGCCGATACTGCATAGCCAGGTATCGGTATTGGGACCAAAAAAATGGCATTGTCGCAACACTGATTATTTTGCCACCTTATATTCACTTATTTTGGTCCCTCAAATAGAGGTAACAAATAAAACCTCACAATACGTTTGGGCCTACCAGGTGAGACCGGCGTGCCCCCCCACCATCAGAGCCAGCTCACCACCAGGTAGTAGGTTTGAACCTTATCCGTTGAATCAATGGAGACACATTACACACTATTGCGGTTTTAGATCTTTATTGTCATATCACTGTAGATCATCTTCACAACAAGCAGTAATACATACAGTGGTCTTAGAGTATATCATTGTCCAATATGAGGAGAGCAACAGTTAGAATCACAGCTATGGTTTTTTCCCCACATACCGACCCCCACCCACAGGCCCCTGAATAGAACCACCTCCTCTCCTCCTCTACATCACAAACCAATGTGATTACAACTATCAAAATATGCCACAGGTGCCTGACAAATGAACAGGACTCTGGAATAAATAAATCAATAAATAACCAAAATAATATATACAATACTAAATAAATAGTAATGAGTGTATATACATTTACATACACACAAGTAGCTGACCAAAGGACAGCAGGTTCCACAAGCATAGAGCTAGTTTTTATTTCCTTTTTAATGCAGCTCCAAGGCGTAGAGCTTTTTAATGCAACACAGCCACAGGTCAGACCAAGGCCACATTATTATGC